GAGATTCGTCCTCCTTGGACCAATTGCGACGCGACACGTGTCCACCCAGCCAAATGGGAAAACCGGCCAACAAGGCCCAATCCTTGTGGGAGGCCCAGTCAGCCTTAGGTTTAACCTAAACCTAGTACTAGCACGCATTCCAAGGCATATAAATATGCCCATTAATCCTCACTAAGGGGGATTACGCACATTTAACACTCTCACCTAGAGAGACCAAACTACATTTAATCCCGCATTAATTACTCCTTAATCAAGTACTTACTTGACCGTTGGAGGCGGATCTCCAATCATCCGGAGCATCCGTTTGTTTTGCAGGTACAGGCGTCCGGTTCCAATCTCGGAATTTTAACTCTCCCGTAGGACATCAAAAAACCCCGAAAGAGGTGTTACCTCTTTGCACCCTTAAAACCTTTCGCCCGCGAAGCAGCTCTAAGTCTAGGTCTTCGATAAAACGTCGGCATCAAGAAGAGAGTATTTCCCGTGCTATTTGTTCTTGGAGTGCACCAGGTGGTAATTTGCAGCTTGTGAGGGATACTTTGGTAGAGGATTCTCCTACTTTATCAGAGGTTGGTGATGAGGACCTTGATTTGGAGGAGCGTAATATCAAGCAGTGTCGTAGGAAGATTTGTGACGGTCATTAAACTGCTGCAGTCCAGGTTCTTTCTTCTTCAGGCGTAGCTCCTTATAATGACGCCACTCTCGCGGATTTACAGTCTAAACACCCTACTTCTCCAGCTCCAACCTTGCCTAATATACCTATTGATGACCCTCATCTCGTTACTACTTCTGATGTTGTTTTGGATCGAATTAAGAGTTTTCCACATGGCACATCTTGTGGTAGGGACGGTTTACGTGCTGAGAACCTAATGGATTGCTTGAGTGGTGCTGTTATGGCTGTATCAGATGAAATAGTTGACTTTATTTCCGGGGTGGTTATTCTTTTTCTAGCTGAAAGGTGTCCTATGGAACTAGGAGAGTATATTGCTAGTGCTCCTCTTACACCACTTGTTAAGCCTGGTGGTGGTATTCGTCCGATAGCTTTGGGTACTGTTTGGCGGCGTCTGGTTTCGAAGGTCGGTGCTGTTATGGTTGGCCAGTCTTTAGGAAGTTACTTTGATGGTCTCCAATTTGGTGTTGGGGTTTCTTCGGGAGGTGAGGCAATTCTTCATGATGTGAATCGGTTGATTGAGGATCGTGGTTCCGATATTGATCTTTCTATGTTATTGGTGGATTTTCAAAATGCCTTCAATTTAGTTGATCGTGCAGTCATGTTACGTGAAGTTCGTCGTCGTTGTCCGGGCCTTTTGCGATGGGTTGACCAAGACCATTGCGCTTATGGAGAAGGTTGCTATGCTTGATGATCCTCAGTGCGAGCTGTTGTTACTTAGGGCTTGTACCGGAGTTTCTAAACTCTACTTTGCTTTGTGTACTTGTCCCCCTAGTACTTTTGAGACGGCTCAGCATACATTTGACGAGGCTCTTCGATCTTCCTTGAGCGTATTGTTACTTCTTCGGGACTTGGGTTTGACGATTGGCAATGGCGGCTTGCCACCTTACCATTTATGTTTGGAGGGCTCGGGGTATATTCCGCAGGTGATGTTCGTCGTTATGCTCTCGGTTACATTCTGCTGGGTTGCAGACAAAGCTTTTACGTCATGCTGGCATTGTTGGTCTTGGACGAGCCTTTGAAGATGCGTTGAGTCTGTCTAATGGAATAATGGAGTCTGACATTATGAGTAATCCTAGTGAAGTCGCTGCCCCTAAACTCATAAAGAAATTGGCAGATATATATTTTAAAAAGGTTATCGCTTCTAAAGAATCCACCTTTTCTTTGTCTCCTCGACAATCAGCAATGTGGAAATCGTAGTAGGGAGATTACACCTCTGCTTGGCTTCGGGCAGTCCCTATTTCGGGGTTGGGTCAGACGATGAATGCGAAGACCTACCGATGTGTGTTGTGTTACCGGATGGGTGTTCCTTTGTTCTCTATCTCAACGCCGTGCCCTGCTTGTTCAAGGGTTTTTACTGGGGATATTTTCGGTGTTCACGCGGTGTCGTATGCTGGTATTGTGGATATTAAACATCGGCATAATGTTGTCCGGGATACCCTTGTTGATATCTGCTACAGATTTGGGATTTCATCAAGAAAGGAGGTTGACATAGTGTTGTCTGGAGGGAATGACGAAGCCCTCAAACCTGCTAATGTGTTACTTTATTCTTGGGATCGTGGTCGCGATGTATGTATGGATATTAACAGGGTCTTCTCCTTTGACGCAGTCAGGGCTATCTGACTTTGCTCCTGGACGGGTTGTGGCTGATGCAGCTCATCGGAAGCGGGTGAAATATGAAGCTAGTTGTCGGCTGATTAGATATGGATTCATTCCCTTCTCCTTTTCTTTGCTTGAGGAATTAGGGAAGAGGTTTTTGCGTTGCTGAAGCGGGTTCAGAGGTTCTCGACGACACAAGACATTGGGGCTCGTGCTGCAGCTCAAATCTTCGCTAGGGTAGGCTTTGCTATAGCTAGAAGAGTGGGGGCCCAGAATGTATCTCGGCTTCCCACTAATTTATTGTAGGTTGTATGACTTTGTTTGTTTTTGAGATAATAAGTAGTATGGAGTAGTACGTAGGTAAATAGTTAGTACTAATAAACTAATAAAATTATTAATAGTAATATATAGTTATTGTTGTATGTTAGTAGTAGTATAGTACTTACGTAGGTATACAAAATATGAAGTACAGTGCAACATATTAGGCCATATTTAGGAAGACAATCCCCTAATCAATAATAATAATAATAATAATAATAATAATAATAATAATAAGTATGAAATACAAAATATGAAGTACAGTACAATGTATTAGGCCATATTTAGGAAGAAAAGCCCAACTCACTCTTTAACAATTATTAGAGAACAAAGACCAATTTGGTCTCTAATTGAAGCACGGGTACGAAAATGGAAGAACAAAGAGGAGAAATAAGGGAAAATAGGAAAGGGGCTTCCAAGGTGGTGCAGTTGGTGGCGCGCGGCCAGGTGGTGGTGGTGCGAAGGAAAGAGAAAAGGAAAAGAAAACGGGTTTTGGGGGTATTTTAATTTGTTGAATTTTGTGGGTAATTTGCGATGGATTGTGAGGAAATTTTTAGAATCCTTGCTCTATTTATAGGAAAAATTAGGGATTTAAATAAGATTTAAAATTGAAACTTTGAATTGCAATTGGTTGTTTTGGAGGTGAAATCTAATGGTTGGGAGCAAGTTTGATAATGGTGATGGAGTAGATGAGTTACATGTGGATAGTGAGGGTGAATGTAGTCATAAATTGTAGTTGGGGGAGGTATTAGTTGGGAAGGTCAACTTGAAGTATGAGTTTTTTTTTGTTTTTTTTTTTTTTTGGCTAAAAGTATGAGTTGGGTTGTTAATATCAATTGGGCTTGCAAGTACTCATATGGTTAAGGTAAAGGACTTACTTCACTTGAAAACTATGTTCATGAAATAAGGCTCATATTAAAAATAATAACTTTATAACTAAAGTTTTGGAAATTATAATTTTCTTATTAAAATTCACTTGAAAGTTGTAATATATTTGTAGTAAAATTTATAGTTTAATAATCTAAAGGATATTTTGACTTTTGGTACCACAAAAACACATGGTATTCATTTTTGCTACCGCTCAAAACTTTTTTATTTTATTTTACTACCACTAAAAATCACATATTTTAAAATTTGATACCACTTGACGATTTCTGTCAATATTGCTGTTAAGTGGGGCCCAATTTATCCATCACCACACTAATTTATTAACCTACACCACACTAACCACTCACCGACACTCCCCTGCTACCAGCTCCTCACGCAAACACCTCACTAACCCCTGCCAGCCGCACCTCTAGCATCACCACCATTCACACCATCACCGACATCACATCAAACCGCCGCAACTGCCACCAGCACGGCAATTACCCACAGCACCGAACCACCGCAACTCCCCTGCTCTCTCCAACATCACCAAGCTCAGCCCACACTTCAACCTCCACCGCAACATTACAGCGAGCACCGCCTAAACCAACACTCCCGCCTACAGCACCACTGCAAGAAGCCGCGCTCCACCAGCAGCTCCGCACCACCATCAATGGAAGCGGACAGCCCAATCGAACAAATAGCAGCCCGCAAGAAGCTCTAATTCAGCCTGCAATTTTAGCATTTGCAGCCCCGCAATTGGCAATTTACGCCCCAATTTAGCTAAAGAATCAGAGACTCTAGAGCGGAATTAATGAAATTGGGCGGCTGAGATGCATTATTGAATCGAATCAACGGCTGCAATTTGATGATGATTGAAGGTGAAGCGTTTGAAGCCGTTGATTTCAGTTGATGGTGGATGATGAAGAAGCGAATCAGAGCAGCCAAAGAAAACGAACAGGGGAGGGGGGATGATGATGTAGAGGTGGTTAGTTGTCGCCAGCAGGGAGAGGCTTAGCGCCGACGACGGGAAGGGGATGGCCGGTCGCCGGCGAGGTGAATGGGGGGGCGATTCTGGTGGGGGAATGGGGAGGTTTAGGGTGGTTTCGGGCTGATGGGGCTGGGTTTTCTTTTTTTTTTCAACATTTTAATTTTTTTTTTTTGAATAAACTTAACGGAACCCTAACGGATTCCGTCAAGTGGTATCAAATTTTAAAATATGTGATTTTTAGTGGTAGTAAAATAAAAAAAAAAAAAAAATTGAGCGGTAGCAAAAATGAATTCTATGTGTTTTTGTGGTACCAAAAGTCAAAATTTCCTAATCCAAATATCTTAAGAAAATATTTTATAAGTACATGGGAAAATTATTTGTCCATTTTTCATAAACGGGTTTATAAGACCCGAAATAGGACATACTTAAGCTTAATAATTATAATTAATAATAAATAAATTGATTTGAAAATTACGGGGTATTACAGTCTACCCTCCTTAAAAGAGGTTTCGACCTGGAAACTCTAGACTTAAATTTGGTAAAAAGATTCAAATTAGTTCAAATTGGCTCATGCACAACCTAAAATGGGCAAATAAATGACTTAAAACTACATAAAGGGAAAAAATCGGAAACTCTATCGCATTCTACCCCCATTAAAAGGAGTTACGCCCCCGTAACTCGACTACTAACCTCGGAAAACAACTCAAGGTACCTCTTCCTCATGTCGGCTTCAGCTTCCCAAGTAGCTTCTTCCGTCTTATGGTTTAACCATAATACCTTGACTATCTTAACATCATTGTTCCTATTGCTTCTCACTTTACTATCCAAAATATTCACGGATCTTTCCTCATAAGTCAAGTTCTCGTTCATCTCGATGGTTTCAGGCTGTAACACATGGGAAACATCTGGTATGCACTTCCGGATTTGACTCACATGGAATACATTATGAACTCTTTCTAGCTCGTTGGGCAAATCCAACTTGTAGGCTACCTTTCCCACCTTTCGGATGATCGCGTAAGGCCCAATGTACTTCGGGCTTAACTTCCCTCTTTTTCCAAACCTCATTACTCTCTTCATTGGAGATATTTTCAATAAAACGTTCTCACCTACTTTGTACTCTTCATTTGTAATACCCTGGAAATTTCCTTCCTTTAAAATACTCCTTTTACTCTAAATAAAACCCTTCTAGGAAATAACCAAAATATTACCGCCACCGTGATAACGGCTAAGGCAAATTTTCAAAGTCTCACAGCGAAAGTCTAAAAATAAAAACCAACTTTTAAAAATAAAACTTGAGTTCACAACCTGGCCCTTCTTAAAAACCAATTAAAAACAAACATAATATTGTTTGTCCAAAGCAAATCAATAATTCAAAAATATTAAAACTAAGAAACATAACAAGTAACTCTTTACCCTCTATCCCATCATGCTCTTCATGCTTCAAGTACCTGTTACTTCCTCTTTATTTCAAATCTCTACTCACCCATATAAATGGGTCATAGTAGGGTCAATCCAAAGGAAAGCCAAACACAAACACAAAAGTACGAATCAGCAAAGCTGAGTACATATGCACCACACTAACATGAATATTCTAGCATCAAAATAAAAATAATAATTAAAACATGTTCGCCACACAATCACAAGTCAACTTACCTTTGACTCATAACTAGCAATATTAATTATTAATAATAATTTTGGATTACGCATCGAACGGGTTTCCTTCTTTGAAATTAGCCCTTTTATATATTGAGCTTCCAATCAGGGAGCTACCCCAATTGGCACCTACTATGTCACACTTGGTGACGGAATTCCAGCGCATTAATAATAAAAGAAAGTACAGCGTCCTGTACCCCTGTAGAAGCTATGGTTAAATATAAAACCCCATAACTCCTCATATATGTTCATACTCAAGGTATATACGTTCCAAGAGTTTTGGTGCGTATCCTCTTACACTTTACGTGATTTACCAATTTAACTTGTGATGACTCCAACCAATTAATCAAGAATAAACATAACAACATTATTCAACACAAATCTCAAATTCATTCTTGAATTAATTAGTGAGCACATACTATTTATTTTAATTAAGGTTCCTTGCCTAGTTTTGTGCATAAAATTGCACGATTACTACCTTGGTGCATAAAACGCACTACTAAACTTCCTTGACTCAAACTCAACTTACTTGAGTAAGTAAACAAATAAACTAACTTCTTAACTCAACACCAATAATAAATGGGTGAGAAATAAATTCATGAATCATGCTCAATAATTCTAACTTTAGCTCTTTAACTCATATATAAGCCTTGCTTATTAAATACAAGCTTTCTTGATACTTAAAAATAAAACATACTTCCATGATTCATACATACTCAACTTTTATCATGCCTCAAATAATATATTCACATGCTTGCATAACAATTCATGCTCAACCAACATCAATTCCAAGCATATAATCAACCAAACATGCTACTAATTCATCACTTAAATCATACTTTACAAATTCTAGCATAATACTACGCATACACAAATATTCTTGTACACATACGTACCTTGAAAAACGCCTAAACTCAGCTACACTCGCTAGAAATCACCTAGCTCAAAGCTTCCTACAAATAAGAACACATAACTATAATTAATCCACTATTCTCACAAATTTCTAGCAACTATAATACTCTTTAAACGTTACTAATTCGCCCAATTTAATGACATAAAAGCCATAAAACCTTTTCTTTAAGTGGGTACTTTAAATCCTTTCAAAAAGACTTAATTTTTATGACATAAATAAAATTACAGCATACTTATTTAATATAAAATATCACTAATAGACTAGAAAATCATATTTAATTCATTAAAACCTTTTTCCCTTTTATGGGTAATCAAACCCTAACTCAATAATTAAAAAATAGTGTGCATAGACAAATTTCAGCATTAATTTGAGGGCTTTAAACTCATTAAAAACATGTTTAAACCATTAATTAAACAACAACAACAACCTAGGATCAAACCCTAATTATAAACATTAAATCCCCAAATTCTAGGGTTTGTAAATTGGGGTTTTTGATTGAATAAAAATCTGAAAATTATATAAATTATTTATCAACATCAAATTAAATACCCAAAATCAATACCAAAATATAATCAAAATCATGCTTTGAATTAATAAAAACAATAGAATTAAATTAGGAAGAGAAAAAGAGTTTTTTTTTTATTCACTACAAAACCGCAAAAGTGAAGAAAGAAAGAGAGGGTGGCCGGTGGTGCTGCTGACTACTGCTGCTGCCGCCGATGGTGGTGGTGGCGCTGGTGGGTGCCGGCGTGAGGGGAGAATAAGAGGGAGAAAGAGGCGTGGGGAAGGAGAGGAAAAAGTAGAGAAAAAATAAGGAAAAATAAGGAGAAAAAGGAGAGAGAAAATAAAGAGAAAACCTTGGAATTTTTGTGAAATCTGACAATTATGATTTTAGAATGAAAAAATCTTGAGGTTTTGAAGTATTTATACTCCCCTTTTAAATTAAAAAATCATAATTATAAAACTGTCATTACTAAATCCTACTCCCCTTTGACTTATTCCTTTGGGGCCAACTTATTGGACTTTTAAGTGTTCTCAATTCCCCAACAAGTTGATCCAACTATTGAAATAAAGATGACCCAATTTAAAACACTTTTATTGCCTCAATTAATGACTCATATTATTTTATGCACACTTACATAATATTTAAATAATTAATTTCTTTTTAAAATGAAATGAATTATTTTAATTTATAAAATAACTAAAATAAATATTTTATATAAATAAAAATATTATAAAAATACGGAGTATTACATCATCCCTTCTCTTCAAATCTACATAGCTCTTTTGACGATCTTGTGCAGCTTTTATTTTCTCTTGAATCATCTTCACTTGTTTCACGGTCTCTTCGATCATTTCTGGCCCAAGTATAACAGTCTCACTTATGTCATTCTAACATATTGGGTTCTACACTTTCACCCATACAAAGCCTCAAATGGCGCCATCCCAATGCTTGCATGATAACTGTTGTTGTAGGAAAATTCTATCAAGTCCAAATGATCTTCCCACGAACCCTGGAACTCCATTACAAATGATCTCAACATATCCTCCAAAGTCTGTATTGTTCTCTCTATCTAACCATCAGTTGCGGGGTGGAATGCAGTGCTTATCAACAACTTAGTTCCCATAGCCTTTTGTAAGCTTTGCCAAAAGTTGGATAAGAACCTCAAGTCTCTATCCGAGATGTTGTCCTTTGGCACACCATGGTATTTTACTACGAACTTCACGTACACTTTTCCCAATTGATCCATCGACCATGTACTCCTCATGGGTATGAACGTTGCACACTTTGTTGATTGATACACTATGACCCAAATCATATCATTCCCTACTCAAGTCTTTGGTAGAGCTCCTAAGAAATCCATTGATATTGAATCCCACTTCCAATTAGGCACCTCCAAGGGTTGAACCGTGCCTTGTGGCCTTTTATGCTTAATTTTGACCTTTTGACAAGTCAAACCTCTAGCCACAAATTCCGCCACTTCTCTTTTCATATTCGGCCACCAGAACATTTTCTTCATATCCTTATACAACATATCTCCTCCGGGATGCACTTAATAAGGAAAACTATGAGCTTCTTCCATCAACTTTTGCTTTAGATCACTTCGATTTTGAGGATCGGCTATCGAAAAGTCCAATATTTGCCCTTCCTCGATCTTCTCTCTAATCTTTTTCAACTTCTCACCCCCAGGTTGACTTTCTCGAATCTCATCATATATCGACGGCTTGACCAACAAGGCACTTAACATTTTCTCTACCTCTATCTCCTTGTTCCAGTACCTACAAATTCATCTTTTGGAATGCCACACATAATTGGTCCAGGAGAATCATTGCATTGACCGCATGGCTTGACTTTCTACTCAATGCGTCGGCCACTATATTCGCCTTCCCCTCGTGATATTGGATATCCAAGTCGTAGTCCTTAATCAAATCCACCATCGACGTTGCCTCATGTTCTCAACTCCTTTTGAGTGAATATATAGTTCAAACTTTTGTGATCGGTGAAAATCTTACACGTCACTCCATACAAATAGTGTCTCCAATTCTTCAAGGTAAATACAATTGCGGCTAACTCCAAGTCGTGGGTCAGGTAATTCACCTCATAAGGCTTCAACTGTCTCGATGCATAAGCAATCACCTTTTGATTTTGCATCAACACACAACCTAACCCGAACTTTGACGCATCACTATACACCTCATACTTCTCACTTCCATCAGGCAGGGCTTACACAGGGGCCATAGTCAACTTCTCTTCCAATGACTGAAAACCTTCTCACACTCCGAAGTCCATTCGTCCTTACATTCCTTCCTCACCAAGCTCGTCATATGCCTTGCAATTCTCGAGAAATCCTTAACCTGCTAACCCAAGAAAACTTCGAATATCTGACACACTCCTTGGGGTCGGCCATTCACTTACCGCCTTTACTTTTGACGGATCAACTGATACTCCTTCCTTAGAAATCACATGCCCTAGGAAAGCTACCTTCTCCAACCAAAACTCACACTTTGAAAGTTTGGCATACAATTGGTGCTCTCTCAAGGTTGACAACACCGTCCTTAAATGATCCTCATGCTAATCCCGGTTCTTCAAATACACCAAAATATCATCGATAAATACTACAACAAACTTGTCTAAGTATGGCCTAAAAATTCGGTGCATTAAATCCATGAAAACCGCAGGTGCATTGGTTAACCCAAATAGCATAACAGTGAATTCGTAATGACCATAACGAGTTCTAAAAGCACTCTTTGGGATATCTAACTCTACTATCCTCAATTGATGATACCCTGACCTTAAATCGATCTTCGAAAATATTCCTGCTCCCTTCAACTGGTTGAACAAATCGTCAATCCTAGTCAATGGGTACTAGTTCTTGACCGTCACATTGTTTGACTCTCAGTAATCTATGCACAACCTCATACTCCCATCCTTCTTTACGAACAAAACTGGTGCACCCCATGGTGATGAGCTAGGCTGAATGTATCCTTTCTCCAACAAGTCGTCTAACTGAGTCTTCAACTCTTTCATCTCCGTCGGGGCCATTCTATATGGAGCCTTTGAAATAGGTCCTGTCCCAGGCACTAAGTCTATGGTAAATTCAACATCCCTCACAGGTGGCATCCCTGGAATTTCCTTAGGGAAAACATCGAGAAATTCATTCACTATTGGAATATTCTTCTCATCCTCTATATCTCCTTCTTTTATCTCTTGGACACTACACATATATAATGGATACCCTTTTGCTACACACTTCTTAAGTTGCAAAGCAGACACGATCTTCAACCCTGATCTCTTCCCTTTCCTTCGGTAGGTTACCTTAACTTTATCTGGGCCACACAACGTGACCTTTTGGGCCCCGCAATCAATTTGGGCCTTGTATTTGCCCAACCAATCCATCCCCAAAATGACATCGAGATCTTGTAAGTCAAGCTCGATTAAATATGACGGAAATTCTACTTTTAAAATGACAACACACCCTGATTCATCTTAGTGCAACTCACCACCTCCCCTGATGGGATAGTAATATCTAAGGAAACAGACATCGAACTCTCTAACTTGAGTCTATCTACTAAAGTTCTAGAAATAAAAGAGTGAGACGCCCCAGGATCGAACAAGACTTTAGTAGACATAGAACAAATATAGAAATTGCCTGGTTTGGCTGCAGCTACTCTTTTGAAAATTTCCACAAAAGCATCAAGATCATTATGGGATTTTCCCTGGTTTGAGACAATACCAGCTATGTTTTCAGTTATTTTGGTTAGTCTTTTGATGACATAGCTGACTGTGGAACTACTCCTTCTCTTAATTCGTTGTCTTAGAGACATGGTCCTGAATAACATGGTAAAAAAGCATAATGAATTTATTTAACTCGAACAACAAATCAATCATCCATCTAATAAAGACTCAGAGAAGTGACAACTTTATTTTACAGTTCACGAAATATCTTGAGTAATAAGTGTTCTTCAAATTAACTATTAAGTCCAAATTGTCATTTAAAAGCAACTATAGGTAATATCTCAAAATGAATCGTCACAAAGTTTCATCATAATTTGTATATAATTATAGCACATAGATCAACAATCACTTCACCATATATTTCACATAAGAGTGTAATTCACATTCCAATCCATTTCCAATTTAGAAATAATTATCGAATAATGCATGAACCTTCACCAATATACCTTGGAATATAAAAATTCCCAAAAGACCATCAATAATCTTGCTGTAATTCAAAATTTAATTCGAACCTTATACTCTAAAAATATAGTTTGGATGTTTGCTTATTCCATATGCACATAATTCACGTAAAATTTTGAAATCATTTTGGAATACGTTTCAAACTTTTTATTTCGAAAATATTATATATTTATAAGCTGAATACTTGATTCATAATGTGAATTAGTTGGACCAATGAGATCCCAGGTAGGAGAGGTTAGGGTCGACGTTGCCCTGAGCCCAAGTCCTGCCTAGCCAAAGCTCATTGACAATCCAACAATCCCCACTATTAATCTTTTTTCAAAATGAAAAGTAGTTTTTTACTTAAATACTTAATATATACTTAAGGAAAACAAATGCGAAACTCTATCCTATATGCCCTTCTTAAGTCTACCCATTAGTTTTATTTTCCATTTTAATCTTTTTAAGACCCGAAAACTGATACCACTTTGTAACACCCCCAAATTACTCTCTACAATTAATAATAAATAATACAACTTTAGAAAGTAACTTGAGGGTATTACCGCCACGTGAATACATAAGGCTTAACAGAGATTTGCAGTGGAAGAAAAGTAATTATCATTTATTATTAATAATAATAGTAGTTCAAAACATTTTCGAAATAACAAACTACTTATACTAAGTTCCAATTGTTAAATTAAACTAGGTGATCACCGCCCATCGTCCCCAATGCAGCATTTAGTTCACATCGTCCAGTCACCATCACCTAACTACTCATCAATAATGATAAGTAGGGCCAAGTCAAAACAAAACAAATACGTATTAGCCAAATTGCTAAGTACATACAAATGCTAGACATGTAAAATCAATTGAGTTAATCAAACATGCTTTCGAAAAATCCAACTTTCATAAATCATAATTTATTCGATCATTCATAAGTAGAAATTCCCACTTTCGAAAATATGTTAAAGAATCAACTTTTTGAAATCAACTTTCAAAAGATAGTTCCGAATAGGATGGATCAATCCTCATTTTCGTAAATTATTTTTCCACCTAAGTGTGCACACCCCCCAAGCTAGTAACTCCTTTACATAGTCTATACTCACTACGACAAAATATGCCTTTTATAGTGGTTGAAAATGCTTTTTACAGCGGTTTTTCATCCGCTATTAATCGCCCTGCTGTAAAAGGATAATAAGCCTTTTAAAGCGGTTTATAAAACCGCTATAAAAGGTGCTTTCCCCGATTCCGAGCAATTTTGCTATTACAGTATATTAAAACCGCAATAAAAAGTATGCTGTAAATAGAATTGGCGGCAATTTTCAAAAAATGTTTTAATAGTGATATATTAAAACCGCTATTAAAGTTAATTTCTCTCTTTTTTTTGGCAATAATTTTTCCCTGAACAAATTTTGCCCAATAATATTTATTTTGTTCTAATACAACCTAATACGTGTTTCATAAAATATAAAAAATTGTACATTAAATAGTATGTAAAACAATGGTAATTTTTTTTTCATTGATATTCAAGATCCAATAAAGAATTTTACAAAGTCACCATAATAAAACTAAGTTTTGATAACATATGTAATAAGAAAAAGATGCTGATACATATATAAAAAGGACAAAAATAAAAATAAAAATAAAAACACAAAAATTTGTTGATTCCTTCCACCTACACTTAGTGGACTACATAGCGCACCCACTTAGTTCTCACTTCATCAATCTGAGTTTGATCATAGAGAACTGACAATCTGAAAAGTACTTCAAAAATAACAATATAAGGGTACAAGATAACAATATGCACATAAAACAAAGTAAAAATATTTTCTATGATGAGATATAAAGTAAATCATAAATATCCACATTTTAAACTTGGGAGGTATTTAGTTAAATATACAATTAGGACAAATGTTTGTATATTAACAAGATAGCGTACAAACCGAACCACACACACACATAAAAACCAACACACAAGCACATGTCACACTGCCACAGGGGCTTACCAGCAGTCAACATACTCTGCTACGTGGCAGCAAGTACATCGACAAAATGCAGCAACAGAAGCAAACAAGTAGCACCATGGGCAGCATATAAGGCACCATTTGTTAGATGTTTTCTTTGTCCTATTGTTAGATGTTTTCTTTGTCCTAATGATGTGAATTATGGGATTCTATTTCAGCCAGTATATCTTAGCTGGTATCTAGTAATCCCATTGTATTTCTATTTAATCAGCTCAAAATTTCTATTAGGTTTGGAGACTACTTCTAATGAAGGTGTGAAGGTGGGTTTGGGGGTTGTTGTGAGGGATTGGGAAGGCAAGATAACTATGGCAGCCACTAGGAGACATCATACCACAAACTCAGAGATGGCTGAAGCATTAGTAGTTAGATTTGGGGTTCATTTAGCAAGAAGAATGGGCTTTAGACACATCCAAGTTGAAAGTGACTCATCCACTCTGATACGAGCAACAACAAATATGGATCAAGGCTTCTCTCCTTTTCATTTGGTGAAGACATCAAAAAGGATATAGCTGCCAAAAACCTTCTTGGGGCAAAAGCTGCTTTGGATGTACTTTTCATAAGGAAACTAATAACATTCAAGTCACTCTCTAATAACATTCAACTCAAATAGCATATACTCTAAAACATATACTAACATATACTAAAAAAGCATATACTCTATAAACTAGCTCTATGCTCTATGAAATTCATCCTTTTAAGATATTAGCATTTACATATTAAACAATAGTGAATTTATTTCTTTCTTTCTTTTTCCTTACGTATGTAACTATTTGAAAAGGCTTGCCTGCATTTTCTATGTGGTGAGTTTCTTTCTTTCTTTCTTCTTTCTTTTTCCTTACGTATGTAACATATACTCATATATTTCAGAAAGGAATATCTTTATTGAAGTAAAATAACAAATTTTAGCTGAAGTGATATACTCTATAGCATATACTTAACATTCAACTCAAATAGCAAAAACTCTATAACATATACTCTATAAATCTATAATATTCATCTCAAATAATGAAAACAACCTTGCTATAACTAGAGAATCAATCTATTTCATTAAATTGTAGTTATGAAATAAAAAGAGAGAAAACATATAACAAGTAAGAATCCACATGGCCTAGAAGCATTTAAGAAGTATGAAATATTGGTTTCTAAAGAAAAGCTAGCTTCATTATAGTACCTGTTTATCAGAATGTGCATGTGCAATGTGATATCTGGCTCTTCGGCTTCAATACTCTCAGAAGGAGATATAAGAACTCGCATTAGCTCACCAAAAACATTAGGTCTAGAATTAAGTTCTAGATTTCTGAATAGCTTGTAAGCTACGTTTCCCTTCTCATGATGTACATTCTTTAGGAAGAACTGAGCTGCAACAACATCTATTGTATTTTGCAACCTATAATAACTAATAATAATAAATAAATAAATAAATAAATAAAAAGACAATACCTTGTCAAATAAGCATATTATTACATCTAACAATAGAAAAGTTCTTCATTTTACCAAATGAGACTGTTGCCACTTCCTCGAGTTGTCGTAGATGATATCTATATACACAAAGGCTTTTGAAAATCATCAGTGCAAACAGCCAAATAACGGCCATGTTTTGCCACACAACCATTTTATCTCCACAAATGTTTGAATTCTTTCAGCGTAAATGAGGCATTGATATATGTAATATAGTCCTCAAAAGGATACAATCCCCTGAAAAAAAGGAAAAGTACAATCAAGACTTGATCAAGACAAAGCACTAGTCATCATCAAAATGTTTGAGTTTATCTCAATTTCCTACCAGGTGGTTAAGTAGGTTTATAGATATGTTCAACTCATTACGATATCCAAGGTTAAACTCTGCAGAAATCCTAGAATAGCCTAGCATACCAACCACTAATAACAGTAAGAAAGCAACCAACAAAGAAATTGATCTCCTATTAGATATAATGAAACGAGAATCATTATTAAAAGTATCATTTCCACTATAAGTATATACAACATTAAAACATGTTAGCAAAAACAAAAGGCTTTGTGAGGACCGTTTGCCACTCTCCTTTTTGCCGATGATTTCAACGACCAAATTAAACAGCCCTCAAACCATCATCATCAACAACAATTATACTACTACTACTACTACCTCCTTATTTTCTTGCGTTAACCAAACACCCCCTTATTTTATACGGAGTACAAATTACATGAAACCATAAGCAAAAGGCTTGAGAGAGAACCAATTTATACCTGCTTTTCCTGATGATCAAGAAATGATTTAACATGATGTTTAATGCAGTAGCCGTCAATATCTTGTGTATTTCATTCCCAAATTAAACTTCACATACTTTAGTTATGACGAAACCATGCCGATAAAATTGCTCTTGAGGGAGCTTATGAACTCTAAAAGTACCTGAAATTGAATTTTTTTTTTCGAATTATACAATAATTGGCATTATATAGATACAAAATTACAACTGTCTCACTTACAGTAAAACACAAAGTGGCATATTACATGAACTTTGAGTGAAACAAATTCGATAAATCTGAACAAATTACCCATATAAAAATGTCCAAGAGTAGCATCCTAAACCTCTCATTTGCTAATCATCCTCTTCATCAAGAACATGCTACAATGCAACCTGGGATTAACAATTATGACTAATAATTATCCAAAAAAAATTATTTTACAAATTACTAATCAGTGACTATTAAACCGCCCATTAATAATTCGAGAAAAAAAAAAAACTGATAAACCCTTATACAAATCAAGAGTATAAATCTACCAAAAATCCAAAAAAAAAAAAAACAATTAAAACAACACAAATTGTAATTCAACACCAATTACTCTATAAACTCATGAATCGAAAGCAAAAATCAGCGTTTTTTTAATGAGAAACAAACCTTAAATTGAAGAATCATGAAATGTCGCCTCCACGAAATTAAATACGATTGGGACAGCCAACAAGACTTATCTTTTTCACCGGAGAGTTGCAATTTTCCGCCGGAATTAAGAGGTTTTGGGTCCTAAAAATTAGGGTATGAGTGTCTTTTGAGTAATATGCAGATAATAGAGTAAGGTAGTAAGGGTTTGCAATAGCGTGGGAAGAGGAAAGTGAATACTCAATCCGTTAATTTTTATTTGCAACTTTGGAGGGTTTTGCGGGTTACGAGGCAATATTTAAGACAAACATTAGTGGGAGTAAATGAAAGTGATTAAAGTGTTTGGAGAGAGAAAGTTGGCCCACCCACTAGTAAAATTATTAAAATCAGAATTTTTAATTAAGGGTAAATTTGTAATTTTCAGGGTTTTTGTGTACTAAAAATAGAAAGTTGCATATAATGGTTAGCAGACTAAAATGGCAAAAGTTGCAAATAAAAATTCACGGAGGGAGTAGAAAGTTAGGCGATTCTTAATTGCTAATTCCTAATCTATTTACTTTTAACAGCGGTTGTCTAGTGAGCGCTATAAAAAAAGCTTCGCCTTTAATAGCGGTTGTCTAGTAAATGCCGTAAAAAGTGGGCTTTTAACAGCGATTATATAAGAACCGCTATTATATGTTATTAATGACATAATTTATAGCGAAAGAAGAAAACCGCTATAAAAAAAACTGTTGTAAAATGTGATTTTTGTTATAGTGACTTGAGAAAAGACTAGATTATACAAAGTTCATATTCTTATCATTTATATCCGCATGGTGGGAGTCAAGAAAAATCCGATAAACATGTTTGATAAATCAACCTTCCAATTCCCATGTATGGAATGATTAAAATGATAAAATTCCCTTTTTAAACAGTTTGGTAAACAAAGTAAGTTTACAAACAAGCTTATAAAGCGTTTAAATATTTAAACCCAAACAATCATTTTATTGAAACATGCTTATAGAATTTATTTTATAAACATTCATAAATCATTGTTCAACATTCAAACATAGCTCATCATTCAAAACATAAAACACATTTGTATATAAATTAACATAGTTAAAGATCTAGCCACGAATACGTACCTTGATCTTTGCACACAAGTACGGAACTCCTAATTACGAACTTGAAATTCCTCCTAAAATAACCAATAACTCTTATTCAAGAAATCTTCAACAATAAACTTAAAGATACACAATATCGATTCTAACTAATTGTGCATGAACAATTTAACCCTTTTGTAAAATTAATAATTGCTTTTATAAACTAATAATAATATTAGTAGTAGTACTATTTGAATAATAATAATAATAATGGAGTAGTACGTAGGTAAAAGAAGTAGTACTAATAAACTAATAAAATTATTAGTAAGTATGGAGTAGTACGTAGGTAAATAGTAGTAGTACTTATAAACTAATAAAATTATTAATAGTAATATATAGTTATTGTTGTATGTTAGCAGTAGTATAGTACTTACGTAGGTATAATAATAATAATAATAATAATAATAATAATAATAATAATAATAATAATAATAATATAGGTGGTTTTGTATAGGTTTTTCTATTTCTAGTGCAATTCTTGGTGGTTTTGTATAGGTTTTTGTTGGTGTTGGTGCTTTTGGCTGTGGTGGTGGTGAAGCTATGTCGTGAGGTTCATTGTCCCTTTGTGAGTCTTAGTGGTGATGGGGGTGGAAATGACCTTACTAGAAGTTCTTTGATCAAGCATCTTTGTGATCGTCATTGTTGCATCGGTGCGCGGGATATCACGCGGCATTCTTTTACTTCTAAATTGGTTGTTTATACTGAGGCTGAAGTTACTTTTAGGTGTATGGGGATTTGGTTATGTGGGGTTTGCTACAAAACGCATACGCATCGTACTAAGTGTCGTCATAGTCCGAGTGAGATTGTGTCACCCCCAGATGAAGGAGATGATATTGTTCATTTTGTGCTTCATGGTTTCTCCAAGCCGCAAGCTCCCTCTTCTCCGGCTCAGCTTGGGCGCATAGGTGGTTTGGTGCAAGATCAACATTGTGTTTTTAATGTGGCTCTTCTTGATTGTTTGTTCTCCAAGGGGTTTCATACTGTGAAGTCTATACCTCCCAAGTGTCGTTTGGGGTTCTCTCGGGTTCTCAAAGGTGCCCTTGATAAGGTAATCTCTAGGCTTGATGACATTTCTAGTTGGGTCTCTTTGTTGGTGTTACCTCTTTGCACCCTTAAAACCTTTCGCCCGCAGAGCAGCTCTGAGTCTAGGTCTTCGATAAAACGTCGGCATCAAGAAGAGAGTATTTCCTGTGCTATTTGTTCTTGGAGTGCACTAGGTGGTAATTTGCAGCTTGTGAGGGATACTTTGGTAGAGGATTCTCCTACTTTATCAGTGGTTGGTGATGAGGACCTTGATTTGGAGGAGCGTAGTATCAAGCAATGTCGTAGGAAGATTTGTGACGGCCATTACAATGCTGCAGTTCGGGTTCTTTCTTCTTCAGGCGTTGCTCCTTATAATGACGCCACTCTCGCGGATTTACAATCTAAACACCCTACTTCTCCAGCTCCATCCTTGCATGATATACCTATTGATGGCCTTCATCTCGTTACTACTTCTGCTGTTGTTTTGGATCGGATTAAGAGTTTTCCACGTGGCACATCTTGTGCTAGGGACAGTTTACGTGCTCAGCACCTTATGGATTTCTTGAGTGGTGCTGTTGTGACTATATCAGATGAGTTAGTTGGCTCTATTACCAGGGTGGTTAATCTCAATCTAGCTGGAAAGTGTCCTATGGAACTAGGAGAGTATATTGCTAGTGCTCCTCTTACACCACTTGTTAAGCCTGGTGGTCATATTCGTCCTATAGCTGTGGGTACTGTTTGGCAGCGTCTGGTTTCGAAGGTCGATGTTCTTATGGTTGGCCAGTCTTTAGGAAGTTACTTTGATGGTCTCCAATTTGGTGTTGGGGTTTCTTCGGGAGGTGAAGCAATTCTTCATGCTGTTAATCGGTTGATTGAGGATCGTGGTTCCGATGTTGATCTTTCTATGTTATTGGTGGATTTTCAAAATGCCTTTAATCTAGCTGATCGTGCGGCCATGTTACATAAAGTTCATCATCGTTGTTTGGGCCTTTCGCGATGGGTTGAATTCTGCTACTCTAATCCAGCTAGATTGTATTACAGGACCACACCTTATTGTCGTCTCAAGGGGTGCAGCAGGATGATCTCCTTGGTCCTCTACTTTTTGCTTTGGTTTTACAACCCCTGGTGTGTAAAATCAGAGACACTTTTGATGTATGTCTTCAGGCTTGGTATTTGAATGACGACACTGTTATTGGTGACACGTTGGTGGTGGGGAAGGTTCTGCAGTTGATTATGGAGGAAGGGCCTTGTCTTAGGTTACATCTTAACGTGGAAAAAACTGAAGTTTTCTGGCCTTAGAAGACCCTCGAAGTAGGCTTGTGGATGTTTTTCCACCTAATATTGCTCGATTTTACATGGTTGCTTGGTGGCCCCGCTAGTTCTGATTTCGGATTTGGAGGTGAGCTTGTGATCAAAGGGTGACCAAGACCATTGCGCTTATGGATAGGGTTTCTAAGCTTGATGATCCTCAGTGCGAGCTGTTGTTGCTTAGGGCTTGTACCGGAGTTTCTAAACTCTACTTTGCATTACGTACTTGTCCTCCTAGTACTTTTGAGACGGCTCAGCACACATTCGATGGGGCTCTTCGATCTTCCTTGGAGCGTATTGTTATTGCTTCAAGGCCTCGGTTTGGCGATTGGCAGTGGCGGCTTGCCACCTTGCCTTTTGCGTATGACGGGCTTGGTGTTTATTCCGCAGGTGATGTTCGTCATTATGCTTTTCTTGCTTCGCGGTTACAATCTACTGGGTGTAGACAAGGCTTCTACGGCATGTTGACGTCGTTGGCCTTGGTCGAGCCTTTGAGGATGCGTTGAGCTTGTTCCATAGAACGGTGGAGTCTGACATTATGAGTTATCCTAGTGAGGTCGTTGCCCCTAAACTCATGAAGATATTGGCAGATATATATTTCACAAAGGTTATCGCTTCTGCAGAATCCGCCTTTTCTTTGTCTCCTCGGCAATCCGCATTGTGGAAATCGCAGCAGGGAGATCACACCTCTTCTTGGCTTCGGGCGATCCCTATTTCTGGGTTGGGTCAGACAATGAACGCAAAGACCTACCGATGTGTGTTGTGCTACCGGATGGGTGTTCCATTGTTCTCTATCTCGACGCCGTGCTCTGCTTATTCTCGGGTTTTTACTGGGGATATTTTCGGTGATCACGCGGTGTCGTGTGCTGGTATTGTGGGTATTAAACATTGGCATAATGTTGTCCGGGATACCCTTGTTGATATTTGCTATAGATTTGGGATTTCAGCAAGTAAAGGAGGTTGACATAGGGTTGTCTGGAGGAAATGACAGGGCCCTCAGACCTACAGATGTGTTACTTTATTCATGGGATCGTGGTCGCGTTGTATGTGTGGACTTAACAAGGTCTTCTCCTTTGACACAGACAGGCCTATCTGACTTTGTTCCTGGACGGGTTGTGGCTGATGCGGCTCATCGGAAGCGAGTGAAGTATGAAGCTAGTTGTCGGCTGATTGGATATGGTTTCATTCCCTTTTCTTTTTCTTCACTTGGGAATTAGAGAAGGAGGTTGTTGCGTTGCTGAAGCGGGTTCAGAGGTTTTCGGCGACACAAGACATTGGGGCTCGTGCTGCAGCTCATATCTTCACTAGGGTAGGCTTCGGTATAACTAGAGGAGTGGGGGCCCAAATTTTATCTCGGCTTCCCACTAATTTATTGTAGGTTGTATGACTTTGTCTGTTTTTGAGATATAATAATAATAATAATAATAATAATAATAATAATAATAATAATAATAATAATAATAATAATAATAATAATAATAATAATAATAATAATAATAATAATAATAATAATAATAATAATAATAATAATAATAATAATAATAATAATAATAATAATAATAATAATTGTTTCAGGGTTTTTTGATGTCCTGCGGGAGAGTTACAATTCCAAGACTGACCTCTGAACACCTGTACCTGCAAAACAACGGAGACTCCGGTGGGTGGGAGTTCCGCCTCCGACGATCAAGTTAGAACGTGTTTGAGGAGTAAAGAGCGGAAAGTAAAGGGTCTCTCTTGGTTTCCAAGAGAGTATCTGCAATGTGTAATTGCTCAGTTCGAGGTGTCAGGTGTCTGACTTTCTCTGGTTATGAGTTAATGTTAATTAATTCTTTCTGAATGATGTTCTTCAAAAGGAAACATCTCCCTTTTATAGGGTGTTGTAAAACGTGCCCAATACTAGATTTAGTAAACCTAGGGTTGATTGGGCTTTCCCTAGGAATTTGG